CACAAATGTGGGCATTTGGATGGGTCTGTCATGGGCACTTGCGCTCATGCAGATTTAATGGCCACTGCATGCATGTGTCTGTTAAGTCCACAGGACCATAAAGTATGCTGTTCATCATCTTTAGGTTTTAGACATATTACAGCAAGCCTGTCATATTCACTTCCATTGTTGTAATGTCAAAATGATCCCCATTCAAACTATTGAACTGCTGGAATATACTGTAATATTACTGTATTGCATCTACCTTGTTTTTAATGTAAATGTACTTTGTAAAAGTTATTCTAGTATCTATTTTCATTCTACTTGCCCAACAAAGGTGTGACAGAATCAGTTAACCAAATGCACATATTTCCTTTCTGAAAAAATCAGTGTGTTAAAAAATAGTCAGTTGAGCGAATGATTCAATGCTCATTCTAAAGAAAGTCATTTATTTTTACTCCTGAATGGCTATGTTTACATGGGCTCCTTAAGATTCAGTCGCAGTCAGATCATTCTGATTGAATCTGAAGGTAGCTTTAAATGAATGTTTAATAAGGGTTGATGTCCCTTTTTATATATAGTTTAACAACCTTTAAGATGGATATGATCTTCTGGCATGTACACATTGCGCAAGTATAGTTTTCCAAAAAGTGTTAATGTAAGGAATTATTATTATTATTAAGTGTATTATTATTATTATTGTTGTTGTTATTCCCAGTGTTTCAAGATGTGTAGTTCTGGAGACTAAAACAAGTAACAATTGTATCCATATAAAGTTTTGTATGTAAAGTTGATTCCTTGCATCATATGGCATGATTGCACAATTTACAGTTTCATTTTACAATTCATTTAAGCTTTTACATCTCCTTTTATTCAGATTTAAAAAGCGTTTAAACTAGGGATGCACCGATCAGGATTTTTGCAGCCGATTTTGAGTACCTTGTCATGGTGATTGGCTAATACAGAGTACCGATTCTGATGCTTCAAGCAAATGTAAAGCACAATTTCCTACAAGTATGATACCTAAGTGGACATTTCTCCTCATCTAAGAGAATAAATGAAGGATGCTGGGTGTAATCCCTTAAGCAGGTCTCTTTTAACCATTTAGGTGTGAACATGTCATGGTTAGAAGCAGCTTTACAAAACATAATAGATAGTACAAATTTAAAAAATGGTAAAAACATTTACTAACAATGCAATTTGGAAACATTGATAGAAGAATTCAAAATTTCTCAATCAAGAAATAGTTTGGAGTGTATATTTGATGCATAGAAAGTTAAAATGCAAACTTATAAATCCATTACTTACTGAAAGGAAATAGTTCTACAAACTACTGTTTATTGCAATAAGTAAATTACAAGTTTTTTTTATTAAATATTCATGTAAAAATATAATTTTAAAAAGTTTTTTATTAATCTAATATTTCCTGCCAGGTTTTAGTCAACTTGCAATATTGTCAAAAATTCAGAACTTTAAGTTCTTTTAAGTAAAAAGGCCTAAATACATGCAGTAGCTGTTGTATGTAAAAACCCAGGTGCAGGTGTGCATCTTCCTCAGCTTATAAACACATAAACAAACATTTGTGATTGGTTCATGAGATCGGCCAGATCAGTGAGTACCGATTGATTCGTTAAATTTGATTATCGGCCCATACCGATCTCCGACTGATCGATCGGACCATAGTTTAAACCTCCTCTTATTAGATTGAAATTTCATTTTGATAAGCATAATCAGATTCATAAATTAATTTAGATGAAGCCATTTTGTCAGATTGAGTTTTCGATCAGATTATTTGAATGCATTAAAATGTAATGTGTGTAAATTTATATAGTGCATTTATTGTGTATGACCATACACCCAAAGCGCTTCACAATCATGAGGGGGGTCATGTAAAATGTAAGTTCTTTTTCAGCAAATCATTTTAAAAGGAATGAATGTCTACTGGTGTACCACCTACTGGTCTAAAAATGTAAACCTACAAAGAGAATTCCTTAAGAAATCTCCATCACTCTCCATCTCTCCTCCAGTGCAATGAATCAATACTACACGTACATTTGTTTCCTCCTCATAATTCAATTTTTGATACTGTGAATCTAAAGCCTGATGCATTATTTAGTCAATATTCGACTTCTCTGTAAATTGTCCCTCCAGTCCTGTTCCAAAGCATTGTTTCACCTACCGGAATTATCAGTAAGTCTTTTTGGCTTGTGCAGAGAAAACGAATAGCCTGTGGAAATATTCGATAACAGCAGTCAGCAGGACAAATCTCTCAGTAACAGAAGTCAATGGCATAAATACACCCCTATTATCTTTACTGGAGGAATAAAGATTTCCCTCCACCCTCGCTCTGAAAGCAATAATCAAAATGATGCACACCACTTGCCAAGAAATCCATACAAACTCATTCTCCCCTTGTTTCATAGATATGGCAGTAAACGTAAAAAAGCATATGTTTTCTCAGCAGCAGGACTAGTGGAAGAAGAAAAAGAGACTTTTGAGCTGTAATTGGGTTTGATAGGAGGGGAAAAAATCTCCCAGAGGGTGTGAGTTTAGCATCCCTTGAATGCATAATAATACTGCAGTTTTTATTTTTAAATCATCCATAAAATTTATATTACAAAGAACTACCGGATCACAGGGGTGCTTTAGGGACAAATGAGCATGTGGCGGAAGGTAGTGTTTCCAAGAATGATGTCTACATCTGCTTCAGCCAACCCTCTGAGGTTGATCTTTTACTCCTCCATATGTTACTGCAGTGTTTTCAGTGTACAGCCGAAGCTATAGTCGGCCCACTCCACCACTGTCATTATGAGTGACAACATCTCCACGTGTCACCCTGACACTCCTGCACTAAACACATAGCTTTAGACTGCCAGCTATTCATCAAGCTGTCCGTGTAGAGAACATCAGTTTTCAGTGCATAGCTCAATAGCTCACGCCGCATGCTGTGAAGTGGATGTTTCCAGGAGGTCAGTTTAGACTGAAAAGCTCTCAGTTTTATCTTTGTAAAGACGTGGAATTTAGAAGAGTGAGCGATGGATCAATTTAAAGATTCACATCAAAGATCATGGCAGAGCTATACACAAATGCAAAGTCTAATTTCATGGTTTATGTGTTTAAACAAACTGGGATATTAACTTAAGACTCAAAGCAGATGCTGACACATTGAAATGTGCATGATGTAAAGTGTATCTGGATGTGAAGAATTATAAGATAAATCACTGAATCACATTAATGTTTCTACTCTCTGTTAAGATATGCCATCCAAATGAACAGTTGTTACTGTATGTGATTTAGTCCATAAGAATAAATATATTTTTGAACCACAAAGAATATGATTTATTTATTATTACATTAACTACAACTGTTTATTTCCTATTTGTGGATTAATGTTTAGATTAATTGTTGGAAAATCAAGGGCAAATCAGAAAAATCAGTCAGGTCTGTACACGCATCACACCTTCATCATAGTACTATTTAATATACATTCGGTGACATTATTAAACAATAATTTTTCTATGGGAACATTATGGTTAGCTTATAAAAATAGTTTAGAATATTCTTTATCAAATATATTTTTTATTGGATAATGCATCACGGTGGCGCAGTGGGTAGCACGATCACCTCACGGCAAGAAAGTCGCTGGATCGAGCCTCAGCTGGATTAGTTGGCATTTCTGTGTGGAGTTTGCATGTTCTTCCTGTGTTTGTGTGGGTTTCCTCCGGGTGCTCCAGTTTCCCCCACAAGTCCAAAGACATGCGCTATAGGTGAATTTTGGTAGGCTAAATTGTCCGTATAATGTATGTGTGTAAATGAGTGTGTATGGATGTTTCCCAGTAATGGGTTGCAACTGGAAGGGCATCCGCTGTGTAAAACATAAGCTGGAATAGTTAGCGGTTAAATCCGCTGTGGTGACCCCAAAGTTCCCAAAGGTCAGAGCCGAAAAGAATATGAATGAATGAATAATACTATTATTTTTCAGCTGGACTGTGGGTGCACGATCATCTAACCTGCCACAGCTGAAATCTACCCGCGTTTGGGGGTTTGCGGGTGTTAATGTCAAGCCCCGAGTATAATCATGAGGAAAGCAACTAAAATCGAGGATAATCTTAAAATACATCTGTATAATATTCAGGAATCTTAGGGTTTTTATTTATTATTCTTAATAAGATGAAGTGATTTTAGGAGAAAGTTGAATTTTATTCTAATGAGCAAAGGAAGGGTAATTTTATGCAAATTTCTGTTTGTGAATGAAAAATTAGCCATATAGGTTTAAAAAGTTATGTGTTCCAGGGGTTTATCTTTTGGGTTATTATGATAAAAAATAATATCTTTTAGACTAAAGCAATTGGACAATCAAAAACATATGTACTGTCTCCTCTGCTTGTTTGCAGAAAGAACAGGAGCTGTCAATGTCCAAAAATTTAAAAATACTAGAACTTACAGGATAAATTGTGTAAAATTGTAAAATGCATTTATTTTGCCTTGTTGGACATGCAATATTTCCCAGGTAAAAGCCTGGTTCTAGTCCAGACTATAAACTCAATGAAGGTCCTCCATATATCTTTCTTCTAGAAGAAATGTGCCTTTTAAATAGATAAATTTGACACACAAACTTATTGTTAAATTCCTTATCTAACAGACTAAAAGGAGAATGAATATCCACTAAGTCGGTTAGTTCTACAGTGACTTTTAACTAGGTGAAATAAACCAGGTGAAATTGCTTAAACCACTTTATTAAATTCTTTAGGATGAGCTGGGAAACTGATATGTTATAAATTGTTCATAACAAAAACAAATTTCTTGCATCATCAAACAAGCAAAGGATACAATTAATATTATTTTAAATCCACCTATGGAAAAATGATTTGTTTCTGATTGTAATATCTCGGTTATTCCATAAAAAACATCGGTGGATTACAGTGGCCCACAAATAATCCTTTACCTCACCGAGACCGTCACAGAGCCGAATGTTTTCCGAAAATATACGAAGAGAAACCGGGACTGTGCCGAAGTTGTTACGAGTTTAGCCGAAGCTGTGTCGTACGTAAGCAAAAACCGTCCGCTATGAGACCCGCAGGAAGAGCTCAACGATCAAGATAGTATATCAACAAAATAACTCAAAAGGGTTATAATGTCTTAATATATTTTTAATCGGCTCATGTCAGTAGGTATGTACACTGAAAGACTGTGTTAATGCTTGCAATAAGTGTCGCTTAGTGTCTAGTTAAGTATCTTGCTATGGTAGCAGTACAGCCATATAACGCTACTGCACATCATTGTAAATCAATGCGATGAATAGTTTTAAAGAATAGCTTGACCTTAAAATATTATAAGCCTGTATTATTGTAGATATGGGGTTCTGTAGCGCATAAGACAATCACCAAACGTGATATGATGACAATAAGTCAGCAAACATGCTAATATTATTAGCTTAGCACAGTGTGCACCAGATGTCATGAGTCCACGTACATAGAGCTGAATGATATTATAGAATTCGTAAAATATGTCTAGATTTTGTATGTAATTTTTTAGATTATTCTAGCTAGCAGAAAACTAAGAGGGTGGTAAATGGGCCATTATATGCAGTGAATGCCCTAAATATCCTGTTCTTCCAGGTGTCAACTGAGCTTTCTGTAAGATGTCTATGGTCCTGTTTGCCTCAGTGGTGAGAGTGAGGGACGGTTTGCCTCTCTCAGCCTCCACAGACTATGAACTGGATAAAGGAATTCAGGAGACAAAGAAACATCTCAAGGTCCTGTCCAAAAAACTCAGCCAGTTTCCTGATCGCTGCTCACTCAGATCTGGACTATACAATATCAAGTGAGTTTTGCATGTAGTGGCATTTCACCTTCTAAATGTAATTTCATAATTACAAAGTATTCTTTGCAAAGTATTCTTATATTCCAAATAGGGAAAATCGTATTAGCAGCCAGTGACTATCAAAGTACTACATTGTTCACAGTCAATTAAATAGTGCTATAAGTATTGATTTGTCATACTTTTGAAGTCATCAGGGGCCCTAAACAATTACAGGTATGGGGCCCAAGCATTGAAACTCAAATCACTTATTTTCTCTGTACTGTAGATATTTTTTTCACTGTAGAGTCACAAACAGCAAGCTCGCAAACTGTGTACAGTTAATGAGCCATATTTGTGATTAGATTTTAATATTTGCATGAGCGGAACGGAAGGAACGTTCCACTATTTATGGTGGCCCTTAGTAGTATTAATGTCAATCTTGTAATGGTTGTAGACAGATTTTACCACAAAAGCTTAATGAGCAATATAGGCTTCTTCGCATTGGTCAAGTCCCCTTAATTCCCTGGGCCCCTAAGCAGCTGCTTACCCCTCTCATTGGTTAAGTCCGATCCTGGAAGTCATACATGCAATTTCAGAATTCAGACCGAATATTCAAACTAGTATGTTAAACAATATACAGACCTTCCATACAGAAAAGTGTGTTCATCAGCTTTTTAGTTACAGTTAGTAACAATATAATGTGTGGTGCTCATAACAGTACATCATAATAATTAACCGCTATTAGCCTATTTAAATTCTGCTTTACTATTATATGGAACGTGAATGTGTGAATATAAAACCAACTTCCCCCAAATGGCTATGCTATACCACATTTACACCATAGATGTCCAGTGTGAAAACCAACTGTGATGTTTGCACTGGAAAAACATAGACTTTAAAGGGACTGTTCAGCCAAAAATGAAAATCATTTACTCACACTCCACTTGTTCTAAACTTGTTCGAGTTTCCTTCTTTTGTCACAAAATAAGATATTTTGAAGAATGCTGGAATGCAGCAGCCATTTAATTCCTTTTTTTTGTTCCTACTATAGATGTCAATGGATGAGTTTCCAACATTCTTCAGAATTTCTTGTTTTGTGTGGGCTGCAAGATGGATAGTCTTAAAATGTCTCAAAAATACATTTTAGGCCTTAAAAAGTCTTAAATCTACTTAAATCTTAAATTTAAGTAGATTAAATTTAATTTGTAGACTTAAATTTCTCTGTCTTCATTTTCCTTTGTTTATGTGTAGCTATCCAATCTGACCAACACCATACAATCACCAACAATCCATCTCAATTAAACATTTAACTTTTTTACTTAGAAATTTTAACTCTATTTACCATAATGGTGTAATAACTGTTCTTACAGTAGCATTTGTTTAAGGTTCTCTATGTATTCACTGCTAAGGATACTGGCGTATATTTTTAATTATTAAATTATTATTTTTTAATGGTCTTCAAAATGTCTTTAAAAGTCTTAAATTTATCGTAGTGTAACCTGCAGGAACCCTCAGATATTCTGACTCTGTTTGGCTGTTGTTTTAATCTTTATTTTTGCATTTTTTCCCCTATACCTTTATAAGGTCATACGGGCACGTAGAGGCCACACTGACACTACTGTTTGTCATTTTGACTTGTTTTAAGGACATTACATCAAAATTGGATCAGTCTGTTGAGTGTTTTACTACTACAAGTTTAAGTGTGACTCCAAATCCAGACCTCCATGGGTTAATAAAAAGGATTTCCATTGATAATCTTTTTGTGATTTTTATTGTCAGCACATTCAACTATGTAAATAACAAAGTATTTAATAAGAATATAGTCAGATCTAGGATGTATTTTTTAGTGTTCCCTTTATTTTTTTAACAGTGTATATTGCATATACTATAAATTTTGCAATATATTGTGCAGCCTTAGTTAGAAATAAACAGAAAACTATAGCTAGGCATGCTTTTTATCTATTTTATTGCTATTGATTGATGGTAGCTGTAATGTTTAGTGGAAGAAACAAAAAGGCAGACTTGTTTGTTAAAATGTTAGGGCAAGTAGCCTAAACGATGGCGGATATTTCATATTTGGATGACCATTCCTTTAATTAAAACATCGCAGCTAAAACAAATCACAGTGGGGTGCTGTGCACTGGTTGCCAACTGTTCTGATGCAAAATTAAAAGTTCCCCTTCAGCAAGGTCTAATTCAGATGCATTACACTGACGGACCCAGGGGTGACCATTTCATAGCCTGGCTGCTATTCATCACTCCACACTTCACAAGCAGGCAGAAACAAGTCCGATCTCTCTCTGGACTGACTCAGTGGATCGTTTCATCTCTCAAATAGACGTTAACATAGAGAGACACACTGACAAAGTTTCTTCTTTCCTGAGGGCGAGTTACTAAACTGTTCAGATTCAAAGCAGGTGTAAAACAGAGGGTGATGGGGGATTTTTATACACAATGGTTATTTGAATGCGAAGGTCATTGGAATGGACTTTCTTGACCTTGCCCGTCCTGTCTGGGAATGACAGATGTCATGTTTTCACATGTTTTGCTGCCCAGAGCTGTCAGTGTGTCAACTTAATTCGTCTTCTATATTGAATACTAAATGAAAATTGACTGTAGAAGTATGATGTAAACTGTGACATGTCTTGTTTTCCACAGCTTCACAAGCTCTCTCGGAGTTGGGTACTTGATGGTTTGCACAGAGAACTATCCCAATGTCCTGGCCTTCAGCTTCTTAGATGAGCTTCAGAGAGAGTTCATAGTCACGTATGACACCAAGCGGATCAACAGTGCTTTGAGGCCTTTCTCTTTCATTGAGTTTGGTGAGTTTCTTAAGGGGGTCAGGACAGGTTTCTAACAAGGCATCTGTTTTTGCAAAGGGGGATCATATTTTTTTTGTTTATTTAGGACCTAAAACGTACTTACATGAGTAACATTCTGTGTTGTAAATGAAAAATTTAACTAATTGAATTTAATGATAACAACAAAGATTGGAAACCCAATATTGTCAGTACAGTTTTAAAACCACACAGCCTGTGTTGTGTATTTATATAAATATTCATGCTAATTGCTTTGCATGTTTCATTGTCACATTTTGATCTGAGTAGCTCATGATAACAGTGTTACCTGCAGTTTTCTACCAAGCTTTAATCTATCATTTACCAAAACAAAACTAAAAACTAATATTATTATTATTATTATTATGTAAATAAAAAATCTTTAAAAACAATAATGTCATAAAACTATTGAACATTAATATTAGATATTAAGTTAACATTATTATTAGATCATATTTCATATTTAGATATTTATTCATTTGTATATTAGTAAAAAAAAAAGGCATCAGAACATTTGATGAATTATTTATTTTTAAATATTAAATTTTGTAGCTGATTAAAGTGTTAAAGGGCACCTATGATGAAAATGTGTGTGTGTGTACCTCACTGTGTGTAGGTATAGTGTGTCCACAGTCATACTGGAGTGATAGAAACTCAACATATCTCTTTTTAAAAATTTCCTGATGTTAAAATAGGATCCAAATTCCTCCCGTTTTGAGGCCCACCGCAACGTGACCGAGTGCAGTTTTCCTACCCACTGATTTGGTTGCAACCGTGTATTAACATGTCTTCGTAGTAACGTGTATAATCATATCAACAAGACAGGATGTGCACAAAGCAACTGTCATTAAATTATCTGTTCAGCACCCTGTGATCATCTATCATCATAAAATGCGATCAAGAATGAGTTTTTACAGGTTTAAATTTTTTTAAAAACAGTGCATGTTTATAATGAATTACAGCGACATTATCCTCACAGCCGCGTGTCAGAACAATTATGAATCCCAGTTTGTGGACGTTAAATTAGGTTTATTTTGTACATTAACATAACAGACATAACAGGCATGTGGGAACAGTGGGTGGGGAGAACTAGCATTAAAGGGACAGGCCACAAATACAGCTACATTGTGTTGAAAGCAGTAAATTCTAATATTCTAAAAGGTATATTAAATAATCTGATGGATGTTTTAAGCTGAAACTTTACAGACACATTCTGGAGACACAAAAGACTTATCTTAAATCTTGAAAAAGGGGTAAAATAGGGGACTAATTTTGAGAGGATCACATGCTTATAACGCGGTCCCGCATTATGCGAGTCATGATTCACCAATCAGACGATTCCTAAACCACTATAAATGCCCTAAGTTCTATATGACTGACATCTTCGTTTTGAAGTAGTTATCTTTTAAGAGCAATCACTATCTGGTCATTAGTTACTACAGCAGGGGAGTTCTCGAGATCTACCTGAGCTTAAACTCCCCTCTCGCCTTGCAAATGGGAGGGGGCCCTCAGCTTGAGGATCTTATGAGCTCAGGGCTCTCTCCTGGGACAGCATGCCAAACAAGCTTTATAATTTATCATCAGCTAAGTGTGAACTCTTGAACTGATCTTAAAATATCAGCGTGTTTGTTTTGTCTCAGTTTTGGACACCTGTAATTCTTTTATAGCATATTCATAAAAAAATGTCCTAATTGAAATATGGCCTAATCCTAGCTTAGTCTAAGCTCTGTCTGTGAAACTAGGGCATCTTGTCTTTATTTCTGTCAGGAGGTGTACAAAATCAAAAAGCATACATAATTGGTATTTTAAACAATTGACTTAAGTTATGTGGTTTAATTTACTTAAATAAAAAGTATCTAAAATAACTAGCCCTTCGGCATCATCTGCCTGAATGTATTTGTTTGATATGATAAATGTGTGCATGTCTAATGCAAAAACAGCCTTGATGGTTATTCGTTAATCTGATTGAAACCATTACCTCCTGAGTTTGGCAGAATGAAATGTTTCTCGCTGTAAGATTCAGGAAAGCTCAACACACTTTCTTTCCATTAGTCTGGTGTTAATTATTTGATCACATCCAATACAGACCCTTTCACTTGGCACTGAAAAGTATTTGCTCTAATTAGTTCCACTTATATTAGTTCCACACGAACAGTTTCACCAACCTTGAGCATTAGTCGATCTCTAAAGAGCATGATGAGTTTGAGTAAACATTAATAGAGTTGCATCTTTTGTGGAACATTTAAATGTAGTCATTTACGAGCCTTATTTGGCTAGGGATCATTGGATTTATCTAAAGAACTACTTCGAATGCAGAACCTCCATTTAACTTGGTATGAAATGCATTGAAGCAATTTGTAACATACAGACCCACGTTGTGATGCCCAGCTTTGATTTAGTGTGCCGTTTCTATGGTTTTTGACAGATAACTTCATTCGGAAAACCAAGCTGCGTTACAACAGCCCACGTTCGCTCTCTACCAAGATTAATCTGGCCGACATGCAGACCGAGATCAAGCTCCGGCCTCCTTATCAGCTCTCGGCGGAGGACATTGGATCAATCAACGGCTTCTCACAACACAAGGAGTCTAAATATAAAGGCATAGGTAGGGAACACGATGCACATACTTCTTTTTGTTCTCAAGAAGGAAGTACAGAGCAGCCCTAGCATCATGCCATAAAGTTTTGATCAGCAGGTTTCCTTCAGCAGGCTTTTAAAATCTAGTTATTTTGCTAGTGCTTGACAGATTCTGTGCTTGATTTATTCCTGCAGCTCCTAATCAAATGTTGGAGGCTGTCACCCTGTCGGGTATTGTCGCCTGTGTCCTAAGCATCCTGTGTGGCGCTCTTAATTTACTGCGGGGAGTCCATGCGATTGAAAGCGTATTGCAGGTAAGTTACAGTAAATCATGCATTGATAGAAATGCTGCTGCTTCGTTTTTAAGCTTTGTGTCTTTTATTGATGAACGCATTGGACTCGACATTACTCTTAAATGCATAAGTGCCGTCGTAATAAAATAAATCTCAACTAATGGATGGTAACAGTACACTTGAATAATTTGTCCGAGTTTGCATTTAGATGTAATGTGATTTTTCCCTCTTCCATAAACAGAACAGTTTTTGCTTGGCTTTGAATATTGTGCTGATAAGTGAGCCCTCGAGTCCTGACACTTAATTCATCCTCCGTATTAGCACATGGCTTCCTGGTGTAATTTGTTCACTATTTAACGCAGCAACTCTGTCTTTCCTCTTTTTCTGCTTCATCTGCAGAACGACGATGAAGACTTTAATTACGTAATTGCTTTTTTCCTTGGAACCGCAGCGTGTTTGTATCAGGTAAGTGACGGCGGTCGGAGCGTGAGTTACTATCGGCCTGCCAGGCTTTATTTCCTATGTACGCCATTTCGGCCTGACCAACCAATGCTTATATATCACACTTTTTCCTCACTGTCATGTAAAAGAGTAGCTTCTGGAAATTTGGAAAATGTTTCCTTTTAACTTGCATCGAATCTGCTGGTATTGTGGATGCTTCTTTAGAATAAGAATCATTCAGTGACATATTAAAAGACTTTATTTAAGTAGATAGTTGATTTAAAAATGACCTTTAACCTCAACATTTACTCGTCCTCATGTGGTTTGAAAATTTAACGAGTTTCTTTGTTTTTTTTCAACACATTCATTTTCCTTTAGTTTTGTCCCTTTATTCATCAGGGGTTACCACAGCGAAATTAACTGCCAACTTATCCAGCATATGTTTTACACAGTGGATGTTTTACACAGTCCAGCTGCAACCCAGTACTGGGAAACACCCATACACACTCATCCACACACATCCACTATGAACAATTTAGTTTATTAAATTCACCTGTACCGCATGTCGTTAGACTGTGAAGAAATCCAATGCACCTGAAAAAAAACCTACACGCACACGGGTGCCCAGACTCGAAAATAGAGTTAAACCCAGCCCAGACTCGAATCAGCAACCTTCTAGCTGTAAGGCGACATTACTAACCACTGTCGCCCCTTTTTATAACACAAAATATGTTGAATAATGCTGGGAACCATTCACTTTTCCTACTATGAAGTTAATGGGTCCCAGCAACCAGCATTATTCAAAATCACTTATTTTGTGTTCAACTGTAGTAAGAAACCTAAACAGGTTTTGAGCAAATGAAGGATGAGTAAATGATCACAAATGATGTCTTCAGAAAACAGAATCACACTAGTACTTCATTTGGTCAAAAGTGACTAAAGACCACACATGTAACTTTTACACCATTAAAAACAATAGGATATTTACAATAATTACTATTTAAAAGGTTTTGAATCAGTGCAGTATTTTGTAATTAGAAAAAGAAAAACCCGTTCACTGCTGTATATTTTTTCAGCCTTGTGGCTAATTTGTAGATTATACACACACAAATTCTCACAAGTGTAGTTTTTTTTTCTAAATTATCAATTCATTTCTTATGGGGAGTCCTCTTTGACCAAAAGAATACAAGTTTGACTTTTTATGCCACTTCGCCAGCTTGAATCTTGCCCCAATTTTTTATATACATTGCAAAAGCTTAGTTTTGCATAATTGTGATGAAGCTGTAATAAAAAAAAAAATTCAACATTTTCCTACGGGACCCACAGGTTTAAGTATCACAGCACAGCCCCAAAATAATAATTTCTTCTTTAAGAAAAAGTCAGAATAAGCCAATTAATCAATTTTTACATTTAATATGTTCATTAAACTGATGACAGTTTATCATTAGTTTATTTTTTTTTCACAAAAATAAATTTAAAACATTAATACAGATAATATACTTGCATTAAATACTTTTCATTCATCCACTTTCCTTCGGCTTAGTCCCTTTATTTATCAGGGGTCGCCACTGTGGAATGAACCGCCAACTTATCCCACATATGTTTTACAAAGAGGATGCCCTTCCAGCTGCAACCCAGTACTGGGAAACATCCATACACACTCATTTACACACACTTATACACTACGGCCAATTTTATTTACCCAATTCACCTATATTCTGTCTTTGAACTGAGGGAAACTGAAGCACCCAGAGAAAACCCACACAAACACGGGGAGAACATGCAAACACAGAAACACCAACTGACTTTGAAATGCCAAATGTGACTTTCACCATTAAAAACAATGGGATTTTTACAAATTATTATTATTTAAAATATTTTTTTGAATTAGTGCAGTGTTTGTAATTAGAATAGAGAGGCAGATTAGCACAATCTGGTTTAAAAAAAAAAGAAGAAGAAAACCCCTTCACTGCTGTATATGCTCAGAAATATAGTTTTAATTTTTGTAAATTCCATATTTATTTCCTATGGTCAATCATCTTTGACCAAAATAATACATGTGTGACTTTATTTATGCCCACTTTGCCCGCTTGAATCTTGCCCCCAGTTTTTGTAGGTATACATTGCAATAGCTTACAAAGTTTCTTACAATTCCGATGAAGCTGTTATTTAAAAAAATTCAAGGAGACCCCGGGGGGTTAAGGATCACAGCACAGCCCCAAAATAATAATAGTTAACTGTTAGCAATTCTTGTATTAAAACAGATAATATACTTGCATTTAATACTTTTGCTTATATAAAGTGCTTTTATAAAGAAAGTGATGTGACAAAAAACAAGACGACTTGACTTTGACTATCAAAAATTGTAATATTGTTCAAATCTTATTCAAATGTTTTCCTCGTGTCTCTCTGTCTCTATACGCAGTGTTACTTATTCGCCTACTTCTCAGTCTGGAGAAACATCAAGTCATTCCTGGCCTTCGCTCTGATCTGCCTGTGTAATATGTATCTGTATGAACTCCGTAACCTGTGGCAGATCCTCTTTCACGTGACAGTGGGAGCGTTCATCACTCTGCAGATCCACCTGAGACGACCGCAGGGCAAAGCACCTGACTATAATGTTTGACCCCCTTGAACTCTTCAAGACTGTGTAATATAGCCCAACATGGCAACTATGAATCTCTTCCTGGCCCGTTTGAGGACATGCAGTATGGATTTTAAAAGGTTTACAAACGGTTTTGAAAAATGTCCTGCTGTTTCACATTTAGCTACTGTTCTGGTTAAAGCAGAAGGTTCATGAAGTTGATTTCATAAAAGCATTCATTCATTCATGCATACATATTTTTTATTATTATTGTTAGATGATTCTGATGTGCACAATACATTTTCCAATAAGGAGTTTTATTATTGATATCATATTTAAAGAGGCAGCTCATCTAAAAATGAAAATATTGTGTTCTTGAATAAAGTTTATGTGGCTTTTTTCCATAAAATGAGTGATGACCATGGTCAGTCAAAGATAATTATTAAATAAATAAATAAATAAATAAAGTATGCAATTTTTTTCCATACATTGATACACATTTTGCAGTAGGTGTAAAATGTTCTTGTATAAAAATCCAAAATCAAACAAAAAGTGCTTCAGAGGTAGTTAATGTGTCAGTGCTCTTTAGAGATAAACAGCAAATTTAAAAGTCCAAGGCATATAAATGAGTGAAAATTATTTTAAAAGCCTTTAATAACATGGCTATTCCATAATATTTGTTACCCTGATGAAGGCAAGTGTTAGCCGAAATGCGTAGGTGCAGTTTTATGGAGTAGCCATGTTATTAAAGGCTTTTAAAAACATTTTTTCGAGTGCCTGGTACTTATAATTTTTCTGTTTAAGTGAAAAATGTTGTTTTTGTGTGTGTGTGTGTGTGTGTGTGTGTGTGTATATATATATATATATATATATATATATATATATATATATATATATATATATATAAAATCGGAAGGGGCATTTTAGTCCTACTGAGTGAGTAACCACTGTAGTTTTTGTTAATAGTTTGAATGAACAATTTGAGTGAACAAATTTTTAGAAATACAGTGCTCAGCATATACAAGTACATCCCTCACAAATCTATCTTTTAAATTAATATTTTTAATAGGAAGCTATACAATATTATATTTATACATATACATTAGATTAATCAGTACTAACGCTTAATCTGGAGCTTATCTAACAAAATAACTTACAATAACGGTCCAAAAACTAGTACATTTAAATGTATAAGTTATAGACAAATATTTCATACAAACTTAAATAAAGAGGAAGAATCATAATAAGCAAAAAATTTAAAAAATAAGTTGAAATTTTGTATGTTGTAATGTTTTTGCAATATTTAGCTTCAATTTCTAAACATATTGGTGGCTATATTCTTGCCAACTAGCTGACAACACACACGTATATATAATGTCATTTTTTTATTTGGAAAAAAAAATATCTTGTGTTGAATAGACATATGCAACTAATAAACCTGACGTCTAGTTTTACGTTTATCTTCTTTGTTTGTCAGTGGCAATGCTTACCTATCAAATTACCTTATTAATTACCTTAAACTATTTATTCAAATATGTATTATGATTTAGCTCAAATCTTAAAAAGGAGAGGGGGATTAGAGAATTTCTGTATGTAAAACACTTCAGAAACAAAGGTCACTAAAAAGTGGGTGGGCACATTTGTGTTTTAGTGTTGTGAGATAAACAGGTAAAATGTGAAATATAATATTGCACACATACAAAAACATGGTTGGCTGACATTTGTGGTCATTATTCCTTTTACTGTATGGCAAAAAGCAGCTTAAACATTTAGCTAAACATCTCATTTTGTGTCCTGCCAAATAAATAACACAAATAAAATGTTTCTTATCTATCTATCAATCTATATATATGAAAGATAAAATGCAACATTACTGGCTTTTTCCACATACAGGTTTTGACTGTTTTATTTTGTCATATGCTTTCATAGATGCCTAATTTGAGTGTCAGTGTGTTTGTGGTCATTAGTCAGACGTCTCTGCTCTGAAAGCATAATCAGACGTGTTATTTATCAATCGTGTCTCTGCTGCCAGCAGGTGTGCTTCCTGAAAATGAATGCGCTTTGCTAAGAGGGAAATGGAACCACACTAATATTCAGACTCTGTTTTTTTTTTCCTCCTCCCCTCGGTGTTTGCTGCTTTTTGTCAACAGGTCTGTTCCGTGACCTTGCTGAGCAGTACAAACGAGTTATGTTTATTCTATTTCCATTTATCCGGCTAGTTTTCATTGTGCAAATGACAGGTTGTATGGATGATTGACAGATTAGGGGTCAACTTTTTTTTTTTATTCCTGTGAAGATCTACGTTTATTTATTTTTTTCTCTCCTGAGAATCAATGATCAGAGATTGCATTTGCATTGCAAAGACTGCATGCTAAGTTTTGTACCTCAATGCTGTTAGCAGCAACAGTGCTGTGCACTTTGGCTCAATGTATGTTTGTACAAATAGAAAAGGCCCTAAAATCATCAGTAAAAGCCTACAATTTGTACAAAGGTGCTTGTTTAGTTTGTGTTTTTAATGCACTTTACACATTTTTGACCACAAATCTAGTCATAATTGTTTGGATTTTGTTCAATTGAGATGTATACATTGTCTGGTGAATAAATAAGTGTTCCTTTTATGCATGTTTTGTTGGAATTTGACAATTTGGCTGTGATATTATTATTTGAACTAACAAACAGTAACAATTAAAAAAAAATTTAAATAGAGAAAATCACCTTAAAACACGATTAAATCAAGTGATATTTATAGAGTAGGAAGTTAACTAAATGTTTTCATGGAATATGATCTTCACAAATTTTACTTTCATGCCAAAATCAGTAAAATATTATATCATTTTGAGCCATACAATGTATTTTTGACTACTGGTAAAAACTTACTCGTGCAACAGGGATAGTTCCCTTAAAAATGAAAATAATTTACTCTTCCTCGTGTGGTAAAAATTATATACTGTGCTGAAACTTTTTTGTATGAATGGCCAAACCAAATATCATTGAGAGCTGTGGGCTGAAGATAAATATACCAAATTATATTACATTAAAGTTGCAATAGGTAATTCTATTATAAAATGAATTAAGAAATTACCTATTGCAACTTTAATGTAATATAATTTGGTATATTTATCTTCAGCCCACATACTATATATTAAACTATATACACCATTGAACTATATATAGTTCAATGCTGAATACACAAGTCAAGCGGAATCTGCCTTTGCCTTGATTTGCTCACAAAAGTTTCTGCAATGTCCTCTATCCTCTACATTTTAAACTAAATCTGATTCATTCAAACCATTTAAAATGAAACATTTAATTTCAGTAAACTTTTTTGTAGCTTAACAATTAAACAAACAAATAAAAGGTTACATAAAATTTGAAATGACAATCTCTAAACCTGATGGGATGGCGGGCCAAATCAAAGGTTACCATGGACCCTAGTTTGGGCATGTTAGCTGTAAAAAATTATGCTGTTACTTGAACCTCTTTTATTAAGTTAATTACGTTTCAACAAAATGATTTGAATTACATAAAGTTTAACCTAATATTTTTAATCACTTTGACTAATGTAAGTTGAGATGACTAGAAAAATTCTTTTGACTCAATTAAACAACTTAGGCCAGTAAGATTTGTTTTGTTTTTTTACACTGGAAGTCAATGGGTCCCAGCAACCAGCATTCTACAAAATATCATCTATTGTGTTCAGCAGAAGAAAGAAACTCAAGCAGGTTTTTAAGGGTGAATAAATGACAGAATTTTCATTTTTAGGAGAACTGTCCCTTTAAGACTGCGGGATCACATTTATGTACAATAATAAGCTATGGCTATTCAGATGATGCACTTCTTAACTTTAATTCATGAAAATGTTTGAATTTGTGCCTCTAGAGCAGGGGTGCCCAAACTCAGATGTCCTTCAAAGTTTAGTTCCAACCCCAATCAGACCCATCTGGGCTAGCTAATCAAGCTCTTACTAGGCTTTCTAGAAACATCCTTGCAGGTGTGTTGAAGCAAGTTGGAGCTTAAATCTGCAGGACACCGGCCCTCCAGGACCGAGTTTGGACACCCCTGCTCTAGAGCAACTAGGCCAGTGTCCTGAACAGTTTAACAAAAACACTGATCAACTGTACAGGACACTGGCCCTCTACGACCAAGTTTTCCCACCCCTGCTTTAGAGTAAAGCTGCGGTCACTAGAGTTTATGTGTGCGAAATTCTGTCGTACGGCACTGCGAAAAGGGGCGGGAATAAACAAGGTTATTAGACAATAAAAAAGTGAGCGATGCTCACTTGCTCTATGTTTTAAATTTCTGTTCAAAGAGGTCATGTTTTGATCCACGATTGGTCTCACACACTCAAGTGATGCGATTTCGCAGGTCTGAGTTCACCAAGCTTGAACTTTGCACCGCAGCAACCTGCAAAACTTGCCGCATGAGCCTGGAAGTCTATGGGAAGAAAAGCCCAGTGTGACCGCAGCTTGAGTCATGTCCGAAAAATCATACACCAAATTTATACTTAACTCTCTTAAAGCTGCAGTGATGAAGATGATGATGATTGTGGTTATTAGAACAAGTCACCTGGCTTACAGAAGCGTGACTAATAAAGGAAATGTTCCAGGTGATGCACTTCATGTTTTTGTGTGTTCGAAAATTGCAGCCCATTTAGGCTTATTTGTACGTGGTTGAGGGGAAAAGTCTGTACATTACTGACGTACATGTAATTGATGTTATTTCTTTCCAGCTTATTTTTACTGCTGATGTAAAGTTGCAGAGCATGCTGTCTTGAACTGCAAAGCATTGAGGACAAAAGGGGTAAAACACTTTTGTGAGTCTATTTACACTTTTCTCAAATGTTTTTTTTTAAATATATATTTTCACAAAAATGTAATTTTATATGTAGTTAAAGTCTTATTCATTAGCCAAGCTGTAAAATAAATTATTTTAAAATATTTCCTAAGTGCTGTTAAACAGACACTTTTTTTCAATATATTTTAAACATAATAGTTTTAATAACTAGTTTCTTTTGTCTTTACCATAATATCTTACAAGATATTTTACAAGATACTAGTGTTCAGCTTAAATCGCAATTTAAAGGTTTCACTACATTAATAAGGATAACTAGTCAAGTTATGTTAGTTAGGATTAGATTGTAGCCAATTTAATTAACTTCAGCTAAGAGGGCCAATAATATTCATTCATTTTCCTTCGGCTTAGTCCCTTTATTCATCAGGGGTCGCCAAAGTGGAATGAAATGGCCATGTTTTACACAGCGGATGCCCTTGCTATCCAGTACTGGGAAACATCCATACACACTCATTCACACACATACACTTCGGCCAATTTAGTCTATTCAATTCACCTATACTGCATGTGTTTGGACTGTGGAGGAAACCGGAGCACTCTGGAGTAAACTCCCACCAATACGGGGAGAGGAAGATGCACACTCCACACAGACATGCCAACTGGCTCATCCGGGTCTCAAACCAGCAACCTTCTTGCTGTGAGGCGACAGTGCTAACCATTGAGCCACTGTCACCGTGCCTATAAAATTTACCTTAAATTTG